TTTTGATTATGTGACCATGGGGATGTTGCAACGATCGTTAAGTGTGAAAAATGGTCAAAAGGTCACTTTTTTCAGTGCCATTGTAACTTTGAACGGTCTCTAAATGAACCGTTGTAAGCCGAGGATTGTAACTGATTCTTTGATAGGCTTATTTGCGCATACATGCAGGCTGAGTGCTCACAACAATAATATCCCAAGAGATCCCAATTTCTAAAGCAAGAATAGGATTTGTGGCTTTTAAAATATGCTGAATCACAACTGCTTGCCTCCTGGTTGGAGCACCTGGAGATGTATTTTGCATTTTAGTAGCATTCAGGCCAAAGAAACAAGTAGTGCTTGTTTTTTCATGTTACATGTCCGCTCAGAGTGCTTGATCCCCCTGACTGACTTCTTTGGGGGGAAAAATTGATAATCTGCACCAAATCTTCTTCTTTGAAAATTAAAACAAAACTGGCGATTTCAGCTCTCATTTAGGGGGATCATAAAAGTCATTGTGAGAGGACAGTTTCTTTGGTAATTCTGTTTTAAGGGATGTTACTTCAGTTTTATATCAATATTTAATGGAATATCTCTTCACTTTTTCATTAAATTTCTGTTGTTTTATTCTGTAAAACTACCATTAAAAAAACATTAGCAGTATGAAGAGATATGTAAAATCATCCCACTTCTGCCTTTTCTAAGATCCCTAACTGTAATCTTCCAGTTCCTCCAACTGTTCTTCAAATTTTAGCTTCCAGTCCCCTAAACACTTTTGCTGCTCTTTTCTGCAGTTTTTTCCAGAGTCTCAACATCTTTTTTATATTGTGGTGACCAAAACTGGATGCAATATTCCAAGTGTGGTTTTACCAAGGCATTATATAGTGGTACTAACACTTCACGTGATTTTGACTCCATTCCTCTGTTAATGTAGCCTAGGATTGCATTGGCTTTTTTGGTGGTGGCAGCACACTGCTGGCTCATACTTAAGTGATTGTCTGAGTGAACTCAGGAGAAAGATTCTGCAATTTTCTTCACAGCCTCTTCTCTGTACCTATGATCTGACAGGTATTTTTTTGATCACATGTCTACTACTCTTCTGAAACATTGCAAACTCAAGTTCAAAGATAGCCAGGCTGATGAGTCATAGCCATGAAAAAAAAATCATGGGATGAAACAGTAAAGTTCTCTCTTGATGTACCGGCTCCAGATGATGCCCCCCCCCTCCTGATGCTGTTACTGTCAGATTCTTGTTTCAGAAATAGCACCTCCCCATTCAGAGCTACACAAGGAGCCTAACAAGTGATAAAATCTGTAATTTTTTTCAATTAGTTTTTATTAAAGAAGTTTTATATAAAGTGTAAAACAATAATTTAAAGAAAAGTAAAAATAAAAAAGTGATAAGTAAATAGAAGAGGAAAGAAAAAGAAACAAAGAAATGGCTTCTGATCTTTATATTTTGATTGTTTATATTTTATTCTCTTGCTAAGGTTACATCATTGCTCCCTTCTTTCCATATTCTATCCTGTATAATAATCAGATCCATAAATTACATGTTCTTTTTGTTTTATTTCAGCAAAAAGTCCATAAGGGGTTTCCAGTTACTGACAACTGTAATTGTTGCCTTTCCTCTGGTCAAGTAAGTTAATTTTGCCATCTCTGCAAATTCTGTCATCTTCACCAACCATTCCTCTGTTGTGGGTATTTCAGCATCTTTCTATCTTTGTGCTTATAATGTAATTGGAGGGAGGGAAGCAAAACCACCGATTGCTTTCTTTAGTCTGTCAGTTCAACATCTGTTGCCAGATGCATTCCTGTGACAGACTGGAAATCGGCAATGAGATAGTTGCAATTTGTACCCCCTCAAGGAGTGGGATACAGCACTTTAATGTGCTCTGAAGCAGAGTCCTGAAAGTACTGTCTTGAAATTCCCCCTGGATGCGTTATCTTCAGCATGACAGGCACTTTGGATATTCAGCATTGATTTTTTTTTGTACAGAAGCCCTATTCTACCTGTGTGACAGTAATAATAATATTAAAAAAACTTTCTCCGGTGTGATGGCCACACTGGAGAAAGTTTTCCTAAAACAGCTTTTCCCAAATGGATGTCCTCCAAACATTTTGGGACTACAGATCTCAGAATTTTCAGCCAGTGTTGCCTAATTATTTTAGGAACTGTAGTCTCAATACAGATGCAGGATAGCCAATTTGGAAAAGGAAGAATTTTAAGGATCAAAGGTCACTTAAGAACAGCTGGTGATGGGGTAACAACAAATGAGCCATCAGGCATTGACATTGCTGCAAAATGTCCTCCCTTTTTGCTCTCTCTCTCTCTCTCTCTCTCACTCTCTCTCTCTCTCTCTCTCTCTTACACACACACACACACACACACACACACACACACACACACTTTTTCCGCCACAAAATAATGTCTACCCGTAAGTAATAATGTTTAATCTACCCAGTAACACCCAGCTGTATTTTATTACAGAAGATACAATACAATACAGTATTCTTTATTGGTCAAGTGTGATTGGACATACAAGGAATTTATCTCTGGTGCAGAAACTCTCAGTGAACATACAAAAACTAAGTAATATAATCATAAGATACCAATAGTAGAAGGTAATAGGAAAGATGAGAAGGATAATAGTAATACAGCCCTACTCCGTGGATGAATATCCTTAGACATAAAACAGTGCTGTGGGAATTAGATGTTCACAGAGTGATGCAGAAATTATGATCATGCCTTGAATTTAAAACTCCTTTATTTTATTTATTTATTACTTAAATAGATTTATATGGTCACCCACCTTGCACACAGTGACTCCAGCTGGTGTACAACATTAAACAACACTTTACTCAGGTGCTAGAGCTGGAAAACAGATTTGTATGCCAGGAATATAGAAGCACTTGTAAATCATGCAGCGCTGTTATGGATATAGAAAAATGGTATCAGTTGTGTGTTTATAACAGTATGACCTAATAAATACTGTTAACAGAAACAGTAAGCACCCGTGAGACCATTAGATTTAAGATCTAAAATTACCTAGCCATTCCATTCAAACAGCTTCTATTATCTGAAAGCTTCATAATCTTCCTCAACGGCCTCTGGAGGCTACTGCTAAACGCAGGAATTTGTAATAGGACAGTTGTAATTACTGAATTATAATTAATGACTGAAGAATAATCTGTGTGAATTTATAGTTAGCTGGACATTTTGAGTTTCGGTTTGGTAATCAAAACCCAACTACGATAAATTACTTACTACGATAAACAAAATTTTTTATCGTAAACGTCGGAAAAAATATGTAAAAGTTTCATAGTTAAATGTACAAATAAACAGGAGTATTACCTTGACTAGGATAGAACCCTTGAAAAACAACGAACCTTATCATTTTGAATATATGATATATATACACCTTCGAGGGTGGGGCGCACGCACTTAGCATCGGCGAAATGGAGGGTGGGGACGTGACTGCTGGGTTACAGCCCGAGCCGGATTGGATGGGGGCGAACAAGGAGCAGAAGAGGGGACAACTAGATGGCACTTGTGTGCCAGGTGAGGCTAAGCGCCCTCACGGTGAACGGACACGGAGGAATGGGGGTGTGAGTGTCAATGCAAGGATAGTTAATGAGAGTGATGAGGGGCATACATCGATTGATTATCCAGGACCCGTCACGAGATCTAGGGCCCGGGCCCAGGCGTTGGCTGGCCTATAAATGGTTTCTCCCATTGAGTTATTCTTTACCCTGATGATGTTGGTAGGATCCAACGAAAGCTAGGTCCTTTTTAATATTCTTTTAAAGGTTTTTAATGTTTTATTAAAACTTTTAATTGTTTTACAACCTCCTGGTGCTCACGTTTTGTTTCCTACTATGGATATACCCAGGAGTCACTCGTTTGTCTTCAGTGTTATTTTTAACCATACTATATATAGGGTGTTCAAAAAGACTTCTCTCTCTCCCATATTTAGGCTGACAGGGTGTTCAAAAAGTACTCATCCTCTTCCCCTGTCTCTTGTAGCTAACAAAGCGAGAAAGAGCCTGTGGCCTAAGGGGCTAATGCTTCTGCTTAACATGCAGACAGCCCAGGTTCGAATCTCAGAAGGGTATGTCTGACTGATGAAAACCAAATAAGGTTAGAAATAGCTATCTCAGTACTCCCTTAATTCTTTGTTAGCAATCCAAATTTTGAATATATATATATACATACTATAGTATATACTATATACTAACATATAAAAATATGGTGAAGTTGGTGTCTCCCTAACCCCAGAAGTACAAAAGAAAGCCTCAAATTTGCAGAACTATCCAGTTAGGCAGGATGTGAGGTGCATAGAAATAATGTTTGTGAGTTAGTCAAAAATATGAGTACCAAACGTTGAAATCAACACTAGTTATATACGGTTGGAAAGGAGACCCTAAAGTTCCACAGTATATTTATAAAGGAGATTAACATAGGGAACACTCTATTTAGTTCTACTCTCTAACCGGGATTCAGTGGGTTAGACAAAGGTACTGACTCACTTAAACTTGGACCCAGAGAAAGGTCAGGATCTGCAATATCCTAATTAGCCACCATCCTAATCTGTGACTTTATACCATTTCCAAAAATGTTGTCCCCCAAATCTATTGGTCTGCAACATCAACTATTCCCCAAAAAAGCAATAGTCAACCCAGTTAGAGAACATGAAGCTCATAAAAGGAGTTCTAGTTTAATGTATAAGTGCTACCATAGTGTTGGAGAGATAAGGGAGAATCCAGCATCTAAACAAGACTAACTTCTACACCTTTCTAGTTAGAGGTATGCCTTATTGGGAATAATTTCCAAGGAAAGGTACATAAGATTCCACTGCAGATATCTCCTTTCCATAAAAGTGTTTTTGAGATGTTTTTGGAAAGTCAAGAAACAGAGTATTTGGTCTAGTCCTCCATTTGCTGCTTTTTCTTTTTCTTTTTCTTTTATTTCTACTTTCTTATGTTATAGGTGTCAATTTTTCCAAGCTAAAGGAGGAAGAGCCATGTCTTCACTTCTCTACAGTCCTCGTAAGTATTTTCTGGAATCTCTGAGAAACTAACAGTCCTGCAAGCCGTCCTCAATTATGAGGCCCACACATCAATTCAGTCCTTGTAGCCATTACATGTGCCCATTTACTTGTTTTCTGCTCTTTCTCTGGGCCCAAGGGTTAGGTTATGTTGCCACCATCTCACCTCATCCCAAACCATACCATACATCTTTTAAAATAAATAGGTAAATAAATGCCAGAGAAATGCCTTAAGTTTTCCATAGATGTTCCAGCTTCAAAGTAGCATGTTTCCTCATAACTAGGCCAAAGAGAATACCAATTTTATCATAAGTACAATCTGACGTGGTTTATTGTTGTTTCAATGAAGTTAGATGATCCCTGAGCATTTATTGAGAACTCTCAACTGATATAGGCATCCCCCCTCTTCTCTCCTCCCTGGCCATTGCTCTCCAAAACCAAATTGTTTTCTCCTTCATATACCAGGCTTTGAAGAGGAATCAGCCCAACTAATAACTGACAGGTGTTGGAGAAGTGCAGAATATGGTGTAAAGAGGTGATGCTATACACCAGACATGTCAAACACAAGGCCCGGGGGCCGGATGCGGCCCGTGAAGTGGTTTCATGTGGCCCGCGAAGCCATCCTGGAAACAGGCCAGCTGGGAGCCAATGTACAATTTTGTGGTGGCCATCTATGCTGAAACGCATTCAGTCTTAGCTCCACAAGGCCGTCTAGAAACAGTGAGGAACCAGCCCCTACCGCATCAGCCCCGCCCCCTGGGTGCATGCTGGGGAGGTATCACCTTTTGTGAGGAATGAAGAAATGCACCATGCCTTGGCGCTTGCCCCGGTCCCACCCCCTTCTGCCAGAGACCCTCAGATCTGTCCCACTCCTGCCCAGGCCCCCACAGGCACCCTTGACGCGAACGATGTAGAGCTGGCCATGCCCACCCAGTAGGCCACACCCACTCCATCCACACCCACCAGTAGGCCGCACCCACCTTGGCCACACACACCCGCCCCCCCCCCGAGGGCAACCACAATGCTGATGCGGCCCTCAATGAAATTGAGTTTGACACCCCTGCTATACATGTACATACATATCTGTCAGCTTTTAAAGTCTACCAATTTTTTATTTAAAAAGAATGAGTTTACAGCTTTTGTTGAAGAACACTAAATAACCCCAGCTTGACAGGGACTGCAGGATTCAGAGTGTGTGGTAGGAGAGAGATTCCCGCAACACCATGGAACCCCACTACCATGTGCCTATCAGTTGTAATATCTAACAGGGTTGTGAGAGGTGGCAGGAGAAAGGAGAAACTGACTTTGATTTATCCCTGGAATCAGAAACCAGAATAGAATAGAAGAATAGAATAGATTAGAAGAATAACTTTATTGTCCCTTTGAATGTACACTAATCGGCATACATTAAAATGAAATTTCTATGCATACAGCTCTCAAAGGGTCACCACCTCTTAAGGACATTGAACAAGCTAGGTAGCACCTCCTATTCAATCTGCTGCTGGAAACTTGTGGATATAGCACAGAGTATGTTTCAACAGATGGTTGAACCTGCAGATTTGCTACTTGCTCAAACTCACTAAGCAAATGTGATGAAAGGAAAACATCAGCCTCCTTCTGAGTGAGTCGCAGAATATGAGTGTCTGCAAACTCAGGGCCTGCTCAGCTTAAAACTTGCTCTAGGGTTGGAGAAGTTTGAAGAGACAACACATGGCAGAGGTCAACAAAGAGAAGCCTACAGTGAAAGTGCTTACTAGGACTATATAAATTAATTCTTCCACTCTCCTGTACTATCTGTTTGGGACTCAGTTCATTGCCCTGGCGGAGAAGAGAGTTGGTTCCTCAAGCAAGAAAACGTTCCTCAGAGGGAGGGAAGGAAGGAAGGAAGGGGCTAGAGACCTCTCAAGTAAAGAGTTGCTTCTGTGCCCAAAGCTGAGGCTGAAATGATTTATTGAGATTGTTGGTGTGAGACCAGAAGGAAAAGCCTCAAACTGTTGCTGTGAGATCTATTGACTTCCTTGGATAGACTCTAAATGTCACTTCTTGGTTTGGACTGCTGAAGCTCTAAAACGTCTTTTTCTCCTCAACTCTTGTCCCAGAATTTGCTTTCCATTCTAATAGTCAGCTCCCCACTACTCTGTTTATAAGGTTCCCTGACATAGTCAGTTCCATCTTCAGTCTAGCCCAGCGGTTCTCAACCTATGGGTCGCGACCCCATTTGGGGTCGATCGACCATTTCACGGGGGTCGCCAAGCAAGGCTGTCCGCCATTTTTTTACCCTTTTCCGGCGGGTGCCTTACCTCCCTTGAGCTGGGCCAGCTGGTGGTCGGCCTGCTCCGTCTCTGCCGCTTGACAGCTAGGCCTTGGCCAGCGCAGGGGGCGGAACCACGCATACATGGCACTCCCGGGCAGGGAAAGTCCTCGACTTACGACTGGTTGGGTAGTCCTCGACTTATGACCGGTTTAGTCCTCGACTTACGACCGGTTTAGTCCTCGACTGATGACCGGTTTAGTCCTCGACTTACGACCGGTTGGGGGTCGCGGCATTAAAAAGGTTGAGAACCACTGGTCTAGCCCTTGGTTAAGCAAACTAACTGGTGGATATATTCTTAGACTTTTATCTGCATATAGGAAATGTTTGGAAGCTGCAGAGTATTGAGTGAATTGCAAAGCACTGAGTATTGCAGAGCACTGAGTGAAAGGATATCTAAATTTGTGCACCTATTAAATTCACTGTTTTTTTATGGAAACAACTGTATATACAAATACTGCACACAAATAATAGATATGCATTCCAGTTAGCAAAAATATGACATTTTAAATTGTGTACCCGGTTGTATCAGATTTTGTTCACTCAGGAATTTATTGAAGCACAAACATTGATCAGAGTGCCTAACATTTCCATTTAATTGTATATAGTTGTTACTGTACTAGAACCAGCACCCTCCCTGACTTGAAATGTCCCATCCTCTGCTCAGGTATTCAACTGGATGACAATCTTGTTCAAATGCAACAAGGAACAATGATGCGCAAGGTGAAATCCAAGAACTGGAAGAAACAACGCTACTTCCTGTTACAGCAGGACTGCATGACGGTCTGGTACAAATCTAAGATGTCTGGCAAAGCCAAATCAGCCTGTGAGTTTGACTACCTGCACCATATTATTTGCCACAGGGCTGATTCTCGGGAACATTGTCTTTGAGTGTGGGCTTTCAAATCCTGTAAGTGCAGAATAGAAAAATTGGGAAATCTTGCACAAATTTACCCACAACCTACATAAAAATGTTTGTGAGTTCCAATCCTGAGAAGGATTCAGGGCACACAATAAGGACAAAAAAACAAATAAGGCTAATGTAAGTATTGGTTTCCCAGATCCAGAGGAGAAGATAAAGTTTTCATAATGTTGGGAATTATTGGGAATGTAGATGCATATGTCCATATGTGTGCTCTCAAGCCTCACAATTTCTCATGTGCGTGACATTTTCTAGAATAAATTTTGTAAGGTTTGTTTAAAATGTTCATCTTTGAGAAAACAGGCGTTTGGGATGTAGCTGAAACCATCCCCACTGCTTGATTGTCTATGTAGTGGAATTACCATTGCTACTTCGGCTAGTGGATATTATGCAATTGATCTCATCTAGAGGATACCAAACAGAAGAATGTTGAATAGAGTAACTTCAGGCATCAAATATATCGTACCAAATTGCCAATTAAAGATATTTTTGTTGCATGTTATTGTATCTCCCATAGAGGCATGGAGTACCTTCTTGACATTTTTCTGCTGCTGAATTTGTGGCATCCTGGATGCATTCATCTTCTCTTCAACTAGTAATGAGAATCGTACTCTGGGGTTATGCTAGATATATTTTTATTCATTTTATTTAATTTATGTACTTGGCTCTAATTAAAAAAAACCAGTCACTTTGATTTCACCATTTGTGTTTATGTGCAGCCCGGATAGAGAAGAAAGGAATGCTTTTATAACTTAAGTTCAACCCTCTATGTCAGGGGTCTTCAAACTTGGCCCTTTTATGACTTGTGGACTTCAACTCCCAGAATTCCTCAACCAGGCACGCTGGCTGAGGAATTCTGGGAGTTGAAGTCCACAAGTCATAAAAGGGCCAAGTTTGAAGACCCCTGCTCTATGTAAAGGCTTATCTTTTCTGTTTATTCTTCTCTCAAGTTTCTGTAAGTGATGTGGAGACAATCCGTGAAGGACATCAATCGGAGGTGCTGCGAAGTCTGGCTGAGGAGTTCCCTGCTGATTGCTGTTTCACTGTTGTCTTCCATGGGCGGCGAAGCAATCTCGATCTCATTGCTAGTTCAGCTGAGGAGGCTCAGTGTTGGATTCAAGGTTTGCGGCGCCTCATAAAGACGGTCGTTAACATGGATCAAAAAGAAAGGCTTGATCAATATCCTTACTTTTAATTACCTGCTGTTTCTTTCAGTGCCTTTCCCACAAAAGGGAAAAAAAGGAAATATCTTTATTTCAGTTCGTTATTTTAACCATTAGTTAAAAATATAATACTTAGCTAAAAGATAATACTTTCTTCCCTTTATAAAATATACTGTAGGAAACAAACAGCCGAAAGAGTTTTCTCTTCCATTGCAATTCCAGATCCCTTCCATGACAATCTGTCCTGTACTAACAAGGTGTCAATTTGTGCTCGTTTCCAGGGTGTTTTGTTTTGACAAAAGTATACCATGCTTGTCTGCTCTGATCCTATGAGTCTCTTTTCCTTAATCCACACCTGGGTTGCACATGGATTTGTGACTGGTTTTTAAAAGCTGATAAAGACAACGATGGTCGCATGAACTTCAAAGAGGTGCAGCACTTGCTTAGGATGATGAATGTCGATATGAATGAAGAACATGCCTTCCAGCTCTTCCAGGTAAATCTGTATGAGCCAAAGTGGAGAACATGTGGAGCTAAGTTACATAAAAGCCATTCTTCTGTTAGTTCATAAGAAGGCACATTGCCACCATCATCTACTGATGAGAGTGCAGATATCCTAGCCTCTCTTGCTCTCTGCACATAATGTTTATCCTCAGACTTGGTTGTTCGATTTGTTTCCAATGAGGCTATTTATATCCCAATGGAATATCCATTCGGCTGTGGCTCCTTGCCAATCTAAATGCTTTGTTTTCTGGAATACAATTACACCGGCCAACCTGACACCGTCGGTCATCAGTTTAATCCTCTCTTCCTCAGTCAGCATGGTGGATGGAAGTGGTAGAATTTGTAGCCTGGCACTTTTAAAATACTACAATCAGTTGTAAAATTGAGCGACAAAAGGGCCAACCAACAATTAGATGGCTTCCGTTTTCTTATCTCGTCTGCTTAAAGTAAAGGCAAGTCCATTAGGTGAGGTTCATGCAAAACACGGTAACCCACAGTTCATGCAATAGCAGCAAAGCAGCAATGGTATTAGCCTTCCTCTGTTGCTGAATTGAACTGCTCTGCAGCCATCCTTGTATTAACAAAAAATATGAACCAGCATGAAATTTGTCTTCCCTTTGTCAATCCCTATTTCCCCTTCTATTGCCTCAATCACTACCAACCACCTGATTTCCTTCCAAATCCTAATAGATGTTATACAAGTTTTCTTCAGATAGGATCAGAATTGTAGAAAATGTCAACCCAGTGGCACTGAGTCGTTAGAACCTCATGACCAACTGGCCATGAGAGAAACTGTGGGATGTAGAAGAACATTAAGGATATACTCTGTGTGCTCTCTCTTTTGTGAGGTTGCTTATTTCAGGTCACTTTTATTTCCCTTTCTTCCTTGGCACATGCACGCACATGTACATACTATATAGTTTTTCATTCAGTGTCTTGTAACCATTCACTAGTTTTGCACTAGACTTTGCCTATCCTATCCTATATATTTCCTGAAAAATAAATCTTTTTTCTTTTGTAAAGTATACTTCATTAATTTGTTCAAGTCCAATTTTCCTACCTCTGGAATCCTTACATATGCCTACAGCATACTTCAGTTTTTAAGAAGAAGGAATACATTGGGTGGTTGAAATTTATCTCATTCATGTGTCAGAAGTAAAGTCTTCATCCTGGTTCATCCAAACCGGGAATAAATAAGCAACATGGCGACTGCTTTGGGAAGATGGTTACAGTTTATTGAAGAAGCAGAAAGATGGTCCTTGCAGGAAAGAGCAGAGGAGAGAAGGGCTGAGCACATGGGCAAGGGGTTTTTTATATCCTCTCTAGCCTGTTGTTTGGAAGTTTCCTGTTCCTGTGGCATGAACTTTGAGGCTATTTTCTGTGTCACGTATTCTGACCTGAGCTTAGGTGTGCCTCTCTGGTATACTTGATGGTAATGGGTTAGTCCTATTATGTCCCAAAAGTCATATCCTGCTTCCCTGGTGATGGGGCTAATGACTCCTAGAGTTTGGGTGGGGTATGCAGATTTTAAGTCCCTTTGTCTTTTTGAGTTCCCTGGCTCCAGCCTTTCTGATGGTTTTACATTTGCATTTGTATAGGGCTGGCTACTGCTTGGGGCAAAGAGATGAGGCCAGGGTTGGTTTTTGGTTTTAAAAATCCTTTTGAGGAAAAATATATTTTTCTGCCCTTTTAATATTTCCTTCTCTGGGCTAACTTCCCTCACATGGATTCAAGATGAAATGAAAGCAACATTGTGGGAACTAGCAAACAAAGAGACATTGCTAGGGCATTTTTGCTCTTCAGTCCAAGTGAAGAAAGGCCCTTAATTCCACAGGCTCCTTCAGTGGGCAGGATAACTTGTTTGGCTTGGTTTGATTGTTTTGTTCTACTTCCTGCATAAGGAAACCATTGGTTAGAGCCCTCCATTCCTTACAGATGGCTGACAAATCAGAAACAGGGTCGCTGGAGGGAGAGGAATTTGTGCTGTTCTACAAAGCACTAACTCAGCGGGATGAGGTGCTTGAGATTTTCAAGGAGTATTCTGAAGATGGGAAGAAGCTGACCCTCTTGGAATTTGTGGACTTCTTGCAACAGGAGCAGATGGAAATTGAGGGCACTGATGAGCTTGCAATGGAACTGATTGACAGATATGAACCATCTGAGACTGGTGAGTTGGTGGAGTAACAAAAGGAGAACCGATGGATCTGTAACCCAGCCTCCAGAGTTGGCACAAGTTGTTGCTGGAGTGCTCAATGATATATCCAAGGTGTGACTTTCTAGTGTTAGCAGAATTCCCCAAAACCAGCATTGCTTTTTAAAACCAGTTATATAACCCCATTGTCATAGAGACTGCTAAGACCAGTTCTTTCCTGATCGATCAAAGACTCCTACTTCATAGTTTTTATTTAATTCAGTGTCTGTCCCTTAGCAGGGCCTTTATTTTGAAAGCCCTATCAATTTCTGTTCCTTCTCACCAACTTTTTTTTCCAATAGGCAAAGCTCGCCATATACTGAGCCCAGATGGATTCCTCATGTATCTTTGCTCACCAGACGGCTCCATCTTCAACCCTGAGCACAGGAAGATTTTCCAGGATATGTCTCAGCCTCTTGGCCATTATTTTATCTCTTCCTCTCACAACACGTATCTGATTGAAGACCAGCTGCGAGGACAAAGCAGTGTTGAAGGATACATCAGGTATCAAAATGAAAGGAGAGATGAGAAAGCAACTGCATCAGGAGTCCTTTCAGCGACAGAGCCAAACATTAATTTTGTTTCCCCTTATATTTCCAAAATGATTACTTATGTGTGCATGTGGGAATTCTTTATCATTTAATAAGTATGGGTAGTCGTCGACTTACAACCACAACTGAGCCCAAAATTTCTGTTGTTGAGACATTTGTTAAGTGAGTTTTGCCCCATTTTATGACCTTTCTTGCCACAGTGGTTAAGTGAATCACTGCCGTGATTAAGTTAGTGACACGGTTGTTAAGTGAATCCGGCTTCCCCATTGACTTTGCTTGTCAGACGGTCGTCAGACGGTCATCATGATCCCAGGATACTGCAACCGTCATAAATATGAATGAATGGCCAGGTGTCCAAATTTTGATCGCATGTCGATGGAGATGCTGCAATGGGCATAAGTGTAAAAAATGGTCATAAGTCATTTTTTTTCAGTGCCGTTGTAACTTCAGATAGTCACAAATGAATGGCTGCAAATCGAGGACTACCTGTAATGATGCAACAAGCACATCAGAATGCTTGTTGCATGCAGTAGTCACGGACAAAAAACTATTCAAATTATTTAAGTTGAGAACGTTTTTACAGGGGTGTTTTAATAAATTTTTAGGGGGAACCAGGGTGGATGGGAGGGGGGAGGCTCCCCTTAGGTCAGGACCAGCCATGTCTGGGGGTAGCGAGGGAGAAAGGGTGGGGGGAGAGGGTGGGGGATTGAAGGAGGA